CAGGAGAGACATAGCTACTGTCTGTACTTAGCAGGCACAAAGGGCAGTTCCTACTAAATGAGACTGACTAGTACATTCAGTCTGTGTGTGATGAGACTAATTAAGCTAAGCCTATGGTCATTTGGAAGGTATCGTTTACACTTAAAGTAATAATCATATTGCAGTGAGTGACATATAATTAGATCAGCAGTAGTAGTGCTCATTATTATAGATTCACTAGTGGATACATGAACTTATCTTGGGGTCTTTTTCTAACTCAAAGGCTCAACTCAGTTGCTCATATACAAATGTATAATCTATAATAATTGCCTTCTAAATATGGAAATATTTTAGTTGTGATAGTTACATTCAATTTCTCATTAAATAATAATTTTAATGAATGCACAAAATGTTAAATATAACAACTGATTGAAGTTGAGGCATTAATGCATTTTGTTATAATCAGTATATGTACATAAACATCAGTGGTCCATTGATTTGAACGCACTATTGTTACACAGATACTTGATGACATGTAGTGAGTAGTTTTCACAATGCTGCATGTTGAGCTGCCGACATTGTGAACAACAGGATCCTATTGGCCTAAAGAATGATAGATGGAGAGGTTTAACAAAGTGTAACAAGGACATAATTATAATGGAGATAATTAGAGTGAGACAACATTGAGAATGATTAGTAGTGTAATGTACAGGGCTTCCCACAAGATTTGGCATAGTGCTTTTGTCAGCATATTTTTAAGTTGCTTCAAAATTTGATATGTTCAGCCAAATTTGTTAAAAATTAGATAGAAAGAAGTCACCAATGTTATAATTTCCTGATGCATGTTTACATTTTTATGTTGAGTATAAGATTTAAGCTCATTTTAATAAAATTCGATTTTTTGAAAATTTTAAAAGTTGATCAAAATTAGACCAAAGCTCCTGTGTTATATAGTACAGCCCAATTTAACCAAAAATAGAAAGTAGAAAAATCTCCATTTTTAATACTTTTTTCTGATACACATAAATGTTTTCATGTTGAATATTAAGTTTAAGCACATTCCAATCCCCTGTACTATAGTAAAAAAAATTTGGCCAAATTTTCCTTATTATGAAAATTAGAGCATTTACATAGTGTTGAAAGTTAAAATGGATTTCAAGCAAATTTGTATTTTAAGGAATTTTTGAAGTTCAATGTAGATTCTGTATTGTAATGCTTGTCAGCTCATGGAGCATGCTGTTTAGCTCACTTCATTTATGGGAAGCCCTGTATAAAAATAGATGTATATCTAAGAAGTAAAAATGATGAGAAAGAGAGGAGTGGAATGATAAATTTAGTGCATGAATCTAATACATCAAAGTACAGGAGGGACAAAATGAGGAACATAAATGGAAGAAAGTTGGAAAGAGAACTGTAGTGTAAAAACTTACAGGTTTACCACTTCTAACCAAAGGATGCATGGTAGATATAACAAAAAAATATAATAATGATGAGGAAGATAATAGAAGACAACATGAAGAATGATGAATTTAGATCAAATGTGCATCAACAGAATACATCAAAGTGCATGAGGGAAGGAGGAAGAGACTAGGAAGGAAAGCAGAAAGAGAGTAGCGTATAACCTTACAGATAATAACCAAAGTCCATTTAGCATTAGTAAAAGCAAGAGTATAATGTACCCTTGGTAAAAGCAATGGATGGTTTACTAATCACATCAGATCCAGTAGTAACAGAACTACCACAATGCTGCCAAAAACTAATGAAGAACAACCCCACAGTCTACTTGATTGGATGCCAATGTACTCATCCTTTTGAAATGCAAGTGTCAGCCTCTTGTACTCTTGGATGATGGTTGACTGATTTGGGTTTGCCTAATCCAGTGAATATAGTTTTATATTTAATTGTGTTTAAAACTAGAGAATTACTTATTGTACCAAAAGCAGTGAAATTGGAGTATATTTCACTCAATTATGTCTGAGGTATAATACAATTCTACATTAGGTGTTTGCATACTCTTCTCTCTCAATAAAGTCTTTCTCACAATAATGGGAGCTAAATATTTAGCTTTGGATGATCAGGATACAACTACACCCAAATTTTCCGAACATACCTCTCCTCTCTTTATGCTAGCAAAATTCAGTGTAGTTTCATTTCAATGACTACTCTACTACAATGGTAAAGAGTTTTCCTGGACCATTTCTAATCAGCAACAGCAAATTAACCTGTGTCTGTGAGTCTCTGACATGAAGAGAAGAATCAGGTAGTACTAAGCTGTAACAAAACCTAATCTAACCTGGTTTATTACAAATTTAAGTCTTGTTCATGGTTGATGACTTAGCAGTAAGTTATGCTAAATGCATCTGTAAACAAATTGTCATATATGGCTGTAACGTAACAAAAAGTAATCAGCCATGCAGAAGCAGAAACAAAACTTAGTCTAAAATCAGAAATCACTTCTTTATCAAAACACAACCAGAACTTAAATAAGCACAGGTCAGAAGTATAGTATCTGACACAAAAGAATGAAAAAAATCACCCTAGTAATAATAATGATGATAACACTATGACTAAGGTCACTAATGCATTGCAACGATAATACAAACACAGCACAATTATAATGATTAAAATGCTACATTTACATTACAGCAGAAAATAATTTTAAACCCACTAGACTTCCTTCTGGGATCATGACAGATCCTTAGGAAGTCTGGTTGACCAAGACCTGGCTACTATCATCAGTTCACATGTAATAGTGCACTGCACTTTAAGCTATGCAAGCATGGCAAGTCCAAAAATTCTGGTGATTTTTTTGCAAAGTCCACAATAGTCTAGGTTTTTTTCTTACCTTTTCAATTTATATAAAAAAAACAAAAAATAACTAAAAATTCTACATGTCACTTTAATTTTAAATGGCTCTATGAGACTGAATTTGCCAATAAATGGAGGAAGCAAACAAAGGGCACAACAAAACTAAAGACCATGACCCTCTTCAGAATGCCACTACAAATATTTATAGTTTATAGTAATTAATTATTGTTCTACAAATGAAGTTTTCATCATAGGAAAATAGAAATGTACATTTTAATAAATTTTTTATAACATTTCAATAAAGTGTTTATCTTCATAATGATAACATTGATGCTCAGGGTACATGAAATGATGCTTTTTATAGCCATATACACTATCATTATACAGGGTTTCCCTTAAGATTCTGCTAGAGTTCTTAGCTTTTTGTCAGTGAATTTTTGAAGTTGCTCAAAAATTGAAAAATACCCCATACAGGTAATTTGATAAAAAAACATGAAATGATAGAATTCTCTGATACAAGTACATGTTCTAGGTTTTGTTGTAAATTTGAGCTGGTTGAGCCTGGTTCTGATCAAATTTGATTTTTTTATAAATTTTTAATTACCCAAAAATTTGGTCAACCAACGGAGCCTTTAAATTGGTCTTTGGCCAAAGTTTCTCAAAATGGCTAGGAGAGACTTCTTTACTTTTATAATTTTTGTAATACAAAACATGTCCTTATGCTGTGCAACAGCTTTGAGTTGATTCTGATCAAAATGTGGATGTTTTAATGAATTACTAAGCCCAAAATAACTAGGCAGCATGCTGTAGGAGAACTGTCACGCTAGAGGACTGTATAAATGGTTGCGGAGTTCTGCACAATTGCGCATGCTCAGTACAAAAATAATAATAATGACAATGAATAATTAATTGACACAATACACAACACATGTTAGTTTACTTTGATCTTGTAATCAAAATCTTTCATAAATAGAGCAAATTTCTATTCTTACATACAAAATCAAAGTAACCACAGAAGTTGTTAGCAACATGTTGCCTAGTGTATGTTGGGCTACATCGAGCCAATAGCCAAAGGCTATATAATAGCTCTGAGAGAATTCCATGTTCTTATACATATGTAGTGTAAAAATTTTGAACTAATTTCAATCAAAATTGAATTCATAAAGTTGCTCTAATGAAGCATATGCTTTTTAGCTCATTTATAGGATGTTTTGTAGGAAGCCCATCCAGCCTCTGCATTTACAATATTACATTAGGCCAGCATACTGAGAATTACCGTAGGGCACTCTTTTTTTAAGGGCTCAAGTTCTCTTTTCTAGCAAAAGTAAATTTGCGAATCATGATCTCTAATACTTTTGTTAGCTAATACAATTGCTCTCTGAAATACACGATGTAATAGAGGACCAGCAGAGTTTAGAAAGATCAAAGAACATCTGAAAATAGTCCAAAAGCGCAATCTTCACTTTAAAATGCCCATGTGAAACTTGTCGACATGCATGCATGTCCCCTTTCAATTTGAGGTCACAATACTTGAAAAATTCAAGAAATACATGTATATAGCCCTCAAAGAAAGAGTGCCCTACCATAATAATAAAAAACATGACCCTTTTGATGCATGCTTTACACTAGAGCCTAGTTTCAATCGGATGGCCCTATACATACCTCAATTATATTATCTTTTATGACCTCCATGGCTTCTTGTACCACATAAGCAAATACTGCTAGCAATTGATCAACCAAACAATTAGGAGGGTATCCAAAAAACTTGTACCGTTAACATGCAAGGACACAAAACATGTTCAGGAATAACCTATTAGAATATCTATTTATTACAATAAATAGGGTGAAGAGATAATACAGGTAGCAGCTCCTTTCAGTGCTAATACATTACAATAATTATGTATAGGCTCACAGATTTTTCCTCGACTTTCTCATCCATACCCTGCAGCATGCATGCAACTTCTTGAGGTCCCTGGCTCTACTAGACAACATGTTGCTAGCAACATTTGTGTATGATTACTTTGATCTTGTAAGCAATATGTTGCCAGAAATAGAATAGTCTTCTATTTCTGCAAACATACTGTTTACAAGATTAAAGCATAGACACTTTATTGATCAAAGTAACCACAGATGTTGCTTGCTACATGTTGCCTAGTGCATGCATGATACTCTAGTCACTTACACCCACGCAAGACTCACGTGACATTAGACACAAATTAATTTAAAACACGTGGCAGACTGGCAGGCATTATTCATGTCTATGTTGGAGTTCTGTCAGCTTTTACCCAAAGTGGTGAGTATAGTTGTACTTTTGTATTTACCTTATCAATGATAATATTATATAGGAACTACACGCTCATTTAAATGGATCGATTAGTGCCGATACTATGCGTAAACTGATTGAGCTCAAGTCCAAGAAACGGCTTTTAGGAGGAAAAGATGAGGTAGTCTCTGGTGATTCTAATCCAAACAGTTGGAAGACAGTTATGAGTGACGAAGGAGAGAAACTAGAAAGGTATCATCAATTTACCATAAAGGGTCATTTTGTGGGTACAAAATTTTGTGAAAGGTTCAGTAATTTAGAGGGAATTAATTTTTCGCAGTGGCTACTGCACCGGCACCGGTAGCTGTGTTATGGTACCGGCACAGTAATTAAAGGGTTAAATATCAACTGTTACCATAGCAACGTATAATAAAATAACAATTTTTATTTTTTTCACTTCTTTGTTTCATTTTGTCAATAATAACAGTAATTA